ATATAGCAGCTTCATTATTAATCATCATAGTCAGCTAGGACTCATTGAACAGCTAAATCACCTAGCTACTGATACTCTATATTGAAAGAGGTCTTTTAGGTACTGAATTTTCTCCTCTTGAACACAAGAATGGCAGGGTAACTCTTCAATGAGAAGTTCAGAGCCTTTTTTAACTTGGATTTTGTCACTAAGTGCTAAAATAGAAGTCTTCACAAATTTAAAAACTCATAAGCAAGATATGTGGGTGTGGTCATGGCCACACCTACTTTTGACCACTCCCACTTTCAGCCACACCTTTGCCCTACTTGCAGTGAAATCCTGCAGCCGCCTATGTTAGGAGCTCATTTAGTGTTGGCTTGTCCTCCATTGTTTCTGTGTACCCGCACACTTCTTAATTGAATTTATGTGGGATTATGTTTTAAAAAGAAACTGTTAGCATACTGTACATGTAATCAAGAGTACATAATCTACTCTTGATGTAATGTACAAAGGAATTGGAAAAGCAGCATAATAATAATTATTATTAAAAATAAAAACTAAGCAGCTACTGCTGACTATAATCAAGGTATACTAAATATAACTGATGGACTCTTGCTTGAACAAAGAAATTAAAAACAATAAAAAGCATCATAATAATAACTAAACCATGAGAAGCTGCTTTCATTCTTTTAAAATTAGATACCAAGCTCTTCTTTTAGGATAGCTTTTGCTTTGCCCAGTTGATCAGGAAAGGTATCACAAAGTTGTATCAATGCGTCCCAAGTGAAGCTTTTATTGGCTTTAGACCACTTCTGAAATACCATAATAAGATTATTCATTGCTTGGCCTGGCATTTGCATCAGATCAGTCACATCTACGTTCAATCCAGCCCCTATTAGCATGTATTGGTCAGCAGAAGTACTAAATATCTTTAAGAATGCTCCACTGTTGAGCTCTGGCATCCCTATGGATATTATTATAGAAGGTAAGCATTGATTAGATCATCATGCAATACAGTAATTTTGGAGGGGGTTAAATTTGGCGAATTTGGCATTTTGATAGCCATTCCCCAAATTAAAAATCCACCATTATACGCATGCTCAATGGCACGTGGCCACAAATTCGCCAAATTAAAATTCGCCAATCACCAAAATGTAGCAATTCACTAAATTTTAGTCCCTCCAAAATTTCCCCCTGTAAGCTATATGATTTTTAATAATAATTAGAATAATTTAACAATCAAGTGACATACCTTTGGTCTCCTGTGGAGAAGCATGGTCTTCCACGTCAGATACATTTGTTTGTGCAGTAGTAAGCTCCTTGAGGCCTGTGGATACATAAATATTTTAATTAATGCAAAATATTTGAATGTACAATTTAACAACACACCTTTTGCTTCCTGTGGAGAGCCAGTGCTTCCAGTCTCAGATACATTTCTTTGTGGAGTACCTTTAGTATTAATATATTAAACTAGTATCAATGAATATTAATGTATTTTACATTGTTTCGTAAAGAAACAGGAAAATGAAATGAGTGTGATGCACATTAACATAACAGACTGTTGCAACAACAATCAAGATCAGGTCTACCATACAAGATGATTTATTGGCGAGGAATTAATATTGGCGATTGGCAGTTATATGAAGAAATCGCCAATATAAAATCTGCCATTTTGATTCAATCTGAACATGCTCAATGGCACCATAAGGCACATGGCACAAAATTACTAACATAAAATCTGCCAATTTCTTTCCACAGGTAAATTTGCCAAATATTACTCCCGCCAATAAATCATCTTGTATGGTATCTACAACAGTAACTACCAAATGCATACCGTATAAATGGTTTTTTTTGAGGGTTGCAAATTCCGCGAATTTCACGGATTCCCTCCTGATTCGCGAAAATAAAATCCATGAAAATCAATTTAATACGGTACCCGCATGGCACATGTGGTAGAATTCGTGAAATTAAAATCCACGAATTGGAATTTTAGCAGATTTCATGAAATATAATTCCCTCAAAAAAACCACTCATACGGTACAACAGCTGCAATGGCACCAGGGGAAAGATAATACAATTAATTTTCACCTTCACTAGCAAAACTAGCTCCACATTGAGGAAGAGGAGGATGGACAGTAGCAGTATCTTCTCCTGTTGTGAACACAAAAGGTCAACAATGATGGACTTGATATGTACATGTACATACCTAGTTCTGTAAGCATAACGTTTCCTATCTGTTTCATTGCTGCACCTTGCTGAATCAAAATATTACACACATCAGTTAAATACTGTCTTTCATCAAGAGAAGCTTCTGCTTGACCCATGACATCAGTCATTACTCTATCAGCTTTATCAGCAGTAGGTACACCAACTGCTGTCACTACATATTCTCTAGTCCCTTGTGTTATTAGATCCTTGGCAAACAATGCTTTAGCTACATCATCAACATTAGCTGATATTGCCTTGGTTAGCTTAGCTGAGTATTTCTGTAGTATCTCCTTTGGATCTATACAGTTAAAACAAAGAAATGAGTTAACACTAGCTATCATAATAGCAGTGCTAAGGTTGCAAGTCAAAAATTGTGAGTTTTTACCAACTAGTATTAAGCATTGCATGTATATGAATCAATGCCAAGTAAGATTGTAAATGTATTCAATTTAACAATCAAGTGACATACCTTTTGCTTCCTGTGGAGAGCCAGTGCTTCCAGTCTCAGATACACTTCTTTGTGGAGTACCTTTACAATTAATACATTAAACTAGTATCAATGAATATTAATATATTTTACCTTGCTTTGTAGCAGGAGAAGTTGACTCATCATTAGAAGTAGGAGTGTTTGGTGTATCAGCTGTGGAATAAAAGAGAATAATAATAATAATGATAATAACAACAACAACAACTTACTACAAAGCCAAGACTTCCACGGTATCTTCTCATCACATCTGAACATTTCTTCTGTTTTAGTGCATTCAAAGATAGACTGCTCCTCATTAACTGTTACCGTATGCTTCTCACCCTTAGCCACACCTCCTCCGGCAAGACCACGCCCACACGAACAATAAAACCGGATCTCAGGATTTTTATGACTCTCACTGAGATTGTGTTTTTCAGCTGCAGAAGTGATCGCTTCTTTTACGTCTTTCCTTACACTGCATTCAATGCTTTCTTCCTGACAATGGACTTCAATGCAATTGACCTGTTCAACTAGAACAACACGATACCATGACTTCCGAT